CTAGATCTTGGTGTCTGTTGCTTTCCCCAGATTAGGGAAGTTTTCTGTTATTATTCTTGAAATAAATTTTCTTACGCCTTTTCTCTCTCTTCTACTGGGACTCCTACACTGAGTTCCCGAGGTCTTGTCTCATTTTGCATAATTCTTCTTTCTCTCCCTTCTTCAGCTTTATTGCTTTCCATTACTTTGTCTTCTAGGTGATTAATTTGTTCTTCTGCTTCTTCCAGCCTGCTGTTCATTGCATCAGGTATGTTTCTAATCTCATTTATTGCACTCTTCATCTCTGATTCTTTTTTTTAATTCTTTTATCTCTGTTGTAAGGGTCTCACTGATGTCTTCCATTCTTTTCTCAAGTCCAGTGAGTATCCTTATGATCACTGCTTTAAATCCTCCATCAGGCATGATATTTATTCTGCCTCCATTAAATCTCTGGTCCCATGGCCTTATCCTGTTCTTTCATTTCAGATAAATTCCTGTTTTCTCATTTTGTCTACGTCTCTACCAGCTTCTCTGTGTTAGAAAAGCCAGTTATGTTACCTGCTCCTGAAAGTAATGGACTTATGAAAAAGACGTCATGTAGTGCCCAGGGTCTGGCACTTAGGGCAGTGTCCACAGTGTGTGCTGCATGCACTCTGCTGTTGTGTTCTGGCTGCTCTATCCTTTAGGCCAGTCATCTGCAGAGGCTCTCCCCACCTGCTGTGGGCAGTGTTTGGTACCTGGCTGGAATGTAGCAACTTTTAAATTCGGTGTGCTCTGGTGTGCTTGTGAAATGAGACCTGTCACCACCTCCACTGGAACTGAGGTCCTCCTGAATCTATTCAGGAGATGTGGTGTGGGCAGAGGTCTTCTGGGGGCGGGGGGGGGAAGGCCTGCTGTGCTGGAACTGAGGCAAGAATGATTGATCAGGGCAGTTCCACTGGAGTGCAAGGGGATGGTTTGATGTAAGCAAATTAGACAGCCAGTGTCAGAGCTGCACCGCTTCCCACAGGAGGCTCTGTATTGGTGCTGAGGGGCAGTGGAGGGAAATGGCACCAGCTGGTTCCTTTGTTCCTAGAGAAGAATCTCCGTCAACACTGCCTCTCAGGGACATGCTCTGAGAAGAGTGAGTAATCTCCCCACTGTATGCCCCAGGCACTGTTCAGATCACTGTTTCCCTGCTGTATGCTCCCGGGTTGTTTACCTGCCTTCTCTCCAAGAGCAGCACAGTGCCCTACAGGCTCTATCCCAGCTAAGCCTGATGACCTTTAGAACTCCAGGCTTTAAGCCCCCCTCGTTGTAAGAACTCATGAAATTCAGCCCCTCTCATCTTCCAAGCCAGTGGGTATGAGGAAACGTTCTCTTTGGGCATTTCCATGTACTCCTCTCCTGCCCTTCTCTATGACCATGAATCCCTCCCCTCTATAACAGCCACGATCTGTTTCTCTCCTAAACCACATCTCTGTACTTCTACCTTCTTCGATGTGTCCTCTTCCCTCTTTAGTTGTGGAGTTTGTTCTGTCAGTCTTCAGGTATTAGGTGAACTTAGGCTCCTCTTACTCTGCTACCATCTTCCTTTCTCTCAAGACATTTCTCTAAGATATGCTTCAATTACAAATTATTACAACTAGGCAGGCATGCCCCTATAGATTTTCCCCTCAAGTTAGGGGAGAAGAAAGACCGGCAAGCAGAAAGACAATATGATTGCAAGTATAACAGCTGAAAAACTAGGAATAGTTTAATAACCAAAATTGGACCTTTTACCTGATCTCCATTAACTGAAATTCTAAAAGAAATAGCCAGCTTTGAGTATTTTTAAATCAATCTAATACTCAATCTTCATTCTCCTTTCATCAGTGAGGAAATAAAGAGAACATTATGGAATCATTTTTAATCTTTTCAGTAGTAAACCAAATGTACTGTCCATTGGCACTATTTAAATTAAATATAGGTGGTGCCTGGGTGGCTCAGTCATTAAGCATCTGCCTTTGGCTCAGGTCATGATCCCAGGGTCCTGGGATGGAGCCCACATCAGGCTCCCTGCTCCACGGTAAGCCTGCTTCTCCCTCTCCCACTACCCCTGCTTGTGTTCCCTCTCTCGCTGTGTCTCTCTCTGTCAAATAAATAAATAAAATCTTTAAAAAAATAATTAATTAAATATAATTTCTCCTTTATCTTATTCCAAGCTTGTTTATGTGGGGAGGTAAGTAAGACCATCTCATCTTTATGTTGTATCACAATGCTTTCCCATATCATACAAAACTGGCTTTGAAAATTTATGGCATTCAAATTGCTAATCTACTATTTGTCTCTGATAACTCAATTAAATACTACCTGATATTTTACAGCTGTATTCTTGAAATAATGTAATGAAATATTTATTCCATTAATTATTTATTGAGCTATTAAAGGACATATCTTTCTATTTAAAGTAAAAGAAGATGGATACAGACAACTGTATTTTCTGAGAATGTAGGATCTGTGCCAAGAACAGGATCAGCACCTGTGTTATACAGAAGAACCCGGTCAAAATAGTATCTAATTGTGAATTACAAGATGATGGATTACCAAGATTTCAAAACAGGAAAGCTGACAGCCCAGAGTTCATCTTTTCCTTCCTGGATGGTGAAATTTATAGATGAGTCTATGCTTTATAATAAGTTAATAAAACATAATGAAGTAACGAGTAGACAGCAGATCCTATGACCAAGATTTGATGGAAACGGATGTGGGAGGCACTGAGTGAGCGACTCAAGATATGAATGGAGAAAAGAACCAGAACTCTATCTTTTTGAGTCTGACTTCTCATCATATCATGGAGTCAGCAAGGCATAAGCTGGTAAAAGGCTCCTTCAAGAAGCAAAAAATTTCTACAGGAGTAAAGTTAAGTTCTACTACACTTTTATTAGTACATAAATGAGTGGTAAATTTGCAAGACGACTAGGGAAGAATTCTCATAAACTTTGATTGGGCAGTGACATAAGGATAGACATATAGATAAATGTATTAGAATTGACAATCTAAAAATAAACTGTCACATTATGGTGAATTGATTTTCCAATTTTAGTATATGTGCTGCCGAAGCGAGCACATGGTGAATTGATTTTCAACAAGGGTGTCAATTAAATGGAATAAGAATAGCCTTTTTAATAAATGGTAGTGGGACAAAGTAATAAAATTAGACCTCTACCTCATAGCACATATACAAAATCAACTCCAAATATAAGAGCTAAAATTATAAAACTCTTAGAAAAAAACATATCATTTGTGACTGGATTTGGCAATGGTTTCTTAGGACACCAAAAGAAAAAACAGATTAAGTATATTTCATCAAAATCAAAAACTTCTTTGCTTCAAATGTCACCATCAAGAAAGTGAAAAGGCAAGCTACTGAATAAGAGAAAATATTTGAAAAGCCTGTATCTGATAAGGGATTTGTATTTAGGATATACATAAATAACTCTTACAATAATGAAAAGACAATCCAATAAAGAAATGGTCAAAACAATTGATTCATTCTTTAAGGAAGATATAGAAATGGATAATAACCACATAAAAAGATGAGCTACTCAACATCATTAGTTTTTGTTTAGTTTTTTTTTCTAACGTTTTATTTGTTTATTTGACAGAGAGAGAGAGAGAGCACAAGCAGGGGGAGATGCAGAGGGAGAGGGAGAAGCAGGCTACCCGCTGAGCAGGGAGCCAGATGTGGGGCTCAATCCCAGGAACCTGGGGTCATGACCTGAGCCGAAGGCAGACGCTTAACTAATTGAGCCATCCAGGTGACCCTCAACATCATTAGCTTTAAGCAAAATACAAATCAAAGCCACAAGATCGATGGAACTCATCAAGTGTATTATGCTAAGCCAAACAAGTCAGTCAGAGAAAAATAAATACCCTATGATTTTACTCATATGTGGAATTTAAGAAACAAAACAGATGAACACAGGGGAAAGGGGGAAAAAAAAGAAGAGAAAGGGAGGCAAACCATAAAAGACTCTTAACTATAGAGAAAAAAACTAAGTGTTGCTGTAGTGGAGGTGGATGGGGGGTGGGCTAGATGAATGATGTACTTGTTGTGATGAGCACTGGGTGTTGTATGTAAGTGATGAATCATTAAATTCTACTCCTGAAACCAATATGTTAACTAACTAGAATTTTAAAACTTCAAACAAACAAACAAAAAACCCCACAAGATGCCATTTCCCACCCACTAGGATGGCTATAATAAAAACAACAGATAATGGCAAACATTGGCAAAAATCAGGAAAAATGAGAACCTTCAAACACTGCTGACGAAAATGTAAAATGGTGCAGCCATGTTGGAAAACCGTGTGGCAGTTCCTCAAAGGGTTAAAAAAAAAAAAGAAAAGGTTAAAGAGAGTTACCATATGACCCAGCAATTCCATTTGTAAGTATATATCCAAGAGAAATGAAAACATGTTCACACAAGAACTTGTACGTGTGTGTATAATAGCATTATTAACAACAGACGAAAAGCAAAACAATCTAAAGATCTACCAACTGATAAATGAATAAATTAAATGTCGTATGTCTGTATAGTGGGATATTATTAGCAATAAAAAGAAATAAAGTACTGACACATGCTACAAAATAGGTGTAACTTGAAAATATTATGCTAAATGAAAGAAGGCAGTCACAGAGGACCACATATTGTGTGATTCCATTGATATGAAATGTCCAAAATAGGCAAATTTATAGAGACAGAGAGTAAGTAGTGGTTCCCTAGGGCTAAGGAGAGTAGGGAAGGGGAACCTAGCATAGGGCGACAGGTAAAAGGTACAGGACTTCTTTACAGGGTAACAAAAATGTTCTAAAATTGATTGTGGTACTCTTCGAATTTGCACATTACGTTCATTTTATCTCAATAAAGCTGTTACCAAAAAAAAAAAAATGTAGCACGTATATAAAATTAATAGAAAACATTTCATTGCTCAAAGCACTGAGTGACTTATTTCCCAAAATTAAATGATTCTGGAGTCCCAAAACTAATTAAAAATTACCTTCTGTTTTAGCATATTAATCTGACTATCCATTTCAATTTGATTGGTTTTTGAATTTCCAGGGAAAGTAAGCTCTCTACCTTCATATTCACTTAACTTTCTCCTTGTCACGTTTAAGAGTTTCTTAAATCTGCGGAAGGTATAGAATGAGTAAGTCAGGTTTTTTAAGAGTAAATATTTAATAATTGTTTAAATAGATAATATGTTCTATCATATAAACAAATCTATAAATTATGATCTCTCATTTGTCCCAATCTCACATTGTTTAAGAACATACTAACTAAATTATAATCTCAGGTAAAAAAATATGAAGAAAATTTTTATGACACAACTGGCAGAATTAATACTGTAACTATATTAAGAGTTCTTATACATAAGTTATTAATATTTATTTTCAGTATCTTAATAGAATCATCTATTATTAAATAGTGACTATAAACCAGAGACCAGTATCCAAGGTGAAGAAGAAAAGCATACTTATCCATGAATGTTTTAAAAAGACACAAAAATACATTTTGGTACCCACTAACCACAGTCTACAAGAAGAAAAGAAAATACATACAAAAAACATCAAAGGAGATCACTCACAAAAAAAGAAGAAAGAAAAATCTTTAAAGTCTGAGTTGAGAGGAAAAATGAAGAGACAAAGCTTTAGAAGAAAGGAAATCAGCAAAGAGATAATGTGTGATGGTCTATGAGACTGTTTCAGGAAAGAAGTTACATATCTTGGCTAGGACACTGTTAACAAAGTGAAAGGGTTGCAAAACAATGCAGAGAAAGACAGTTAAATGAGAGAATATCAGAGAACAAATTTGAGTAGTCAGCAAAAAAAAAAAAAAAAAAAAAAAAAACAGAAAGGGAGCCCTGTGGGAGCTACAGACATTGGAAAAAACTTTTTTTTTTTTTAATCTGAGTGGTAAAAGCATGATTGCTAATTTTATTCTTCTTTAAGTCAGACATATATTTTCCTCTGTATATTTTATAATTAAAAAATGCAGAAAGAAAATATAAGCAAGTTGAATCCAAAAAGATGGTGGAGGAGTAGGAGAGCTTAGTTTTGTCTGGTCCGGAACTCACTCGATAGCTATAAAATGATTTTGAACACCTGTGAACTCAACCGGAGATCTAAGAAAAGAATTGCCGCAATTCTACAAATAGAAAAGTGACCACGTTTGGGGAGGGTATGTGTTGTGGTGACCGCTGTGTATTATGTAAGACTGATGAATCACAGATCTGTACCCCTGAAACAAATAATACACTGTATGTTAGTAATAAAAAAAAAAAAAGAAAAGCAACCACTTTCTGCAAGTCTTTTTTAACTTTCATTTTTACAATTACATTCTATCCTTTCATTGTATTTAATTTTATTTTTGTATATATATATAAGTTTTTCTTTCTTTACAATTTGGGATGTAGTTTTCTAACAAACAGACCCAAATACATACAGGATCCAGTGTATTTCTCTGTTCTGTTCACCTGATTATATTCTTTTTTCTTTTTTTTTTTTTTTTTTTTGGTCTGGGTCTCTTCTAATTTGTTTAGTGTATATTTCACTGGGGTTGTTGTTGCTCTTTTAGTATTTTGTTCACTCATTCATCTATTTTCTGGACAGAATGACAAGATGGAAAAACTCAGCTCAAATAAGAGAACTAGAGGCAGTAAAGACTGCCAAGGACCTAATCAGTATGGACATAAGAGGTCAGAACTAGAGTTCAGAATGACGATGATAAAGATACTAGCTGGGCTTGAAAAAAGTATAGAAGACACTAGAGAATCCCTTTCTGAAGAAATAAAAGAATTAAAATCTAATCAAGTCAATATCAAAAAGGCTATTAATGAGATGCAATCAAATATAGAGGCTCTAAAAAAATAGAGGCTCTAACTGAGAGGATAAATGAGGCAGAAAGGAGAAGTAGTGATATACAAGACAAAATGACAGAGAATAAAGAAGCTGGGGAAAAAGAGAGATAAACGACTGGATCACGAGGTGAAATTTCAAGAGATAAGTGATACCATAAAGCGGAACAATAGTAGAATAATTGGGATCCCAGAAGAAGAGGAAGGGGGGGTGGCAGAAGGTGTGTTTGAGAATTAGAGCAGAGAACCTCCCTAATCCGGAGAAGGAAACAGGCATTCATATCCAGGAGGCACAGAAAACCCCCTTCAACATCAATAAAAACAGGTCAACATTTCGATATATAGTAGTGAAGCCTGCAAATTTCAGAGACAAAGAGAAAATCCTGAAAGCAGCTCAGCACAAGAGGTCCTTAACCGACAAGGGTAGAAACATTAGACTGGCAGCAGACCTAACCACAGAGACCTGGCAGGCCAGAAAGGACTGGCATGATATATTGAGGGTGCTAAACGAGAAAAATATGCAGCCAAGAATACTGTATTTATCCAGCAAGGCTGTCATTCAAACTTGAAGGAGAAAGAAAGAGTTTCCAGGACAAACAGAAACTAAAACATTTGTGATCACTAACCCAGCCCTGCAAGAAATATTAAAGGGGATCCTTTACGCAAAGAGAGAGCCCCAAAGTAACACAGACCAGAAAGGAACAGAGACAATATACAGTAACAGTGATATAACAGGTAGTACAATGGCACTAAATTCATATCTATCAATAGTTACCCTGAATGTAAATGGGCCAAATGCCCCAATCAAAAGATGCAGGGTATCAGATTGGATAAAAAAGCAAGACCCATCGATATGCTGTCTGCAAGAGACTCATTTTAGACCCAAGGACACCTCCAGATTGAAAGTGAGGGAGTGGAAAACCATTTATCATGCTAATGGACATCAAAAGAAAGCTGGGGTAGCAATCCTTGTACCAGACAAATTAGATTTTAGACCAAAGACTGTAATAAGAGATGAGGAAGGACACTATCATAATGACTTAAAGGGGTCTATCCAACAAGAAGATCTAACAATTGTAAATATGTGTGCCCCTAACATGGGAGCAGCCAATGACATAAACCAATTAATAATAAAATTAAAGAAACACATTGATGATGATACAATAATAACAGTGAATGACACACTGGACTGTGGGAAACAGACCTCCACAACAACCACTGGTGCATGTTCGTTCAGACTCCGAGATCTCTGAGAAAACTCGATTTGCTGGGTTAAAAATAAGCCGAAAGGATCAGAGTGAATTGCCCTTGGGACGTGTGTGGTCTGTTCTAAAGTACGCAGCAGAAGATGTTTTGTAGATAGGAAGCCACCTGTAAACAGCACACTGTGCACTCCCCTCTTGGTTCCCTTGCCCTGTAAATAGCACACTGTGCACTCCCCTCTTTGTTCCCTTGTCCTGCTTTAAAGATTCTTATCATACATGCGGGACTAATCCTATGTACATGGAAGAATGTGCCTTACTAAGCCCATGCTGTAAATCATTAGAGATCTATAGCGCTGTAGAAGGTATATAAGATTATGGAAAATAAACCTCGGGACCTTGGGCTGATTGCTCGGGGTCCCCTGTGCCTCGCAAAACTGGCATCTCTTTTCCTCAGTTCCTTCACCGCCCCAGGTCCACGACTCTCTGAGGTCGACACTGGACCAGATGCACTTCACAGATAGATTCAGAGCATTCCAACCTAAAGCCACAGAATACACATTCTTCTCGAGTGCACATGGAACTTTCTCCAGAAGACATCACATACTGGGTCACAAATCAGGTCTCAACCGGTACCAAAAGTAGGGGATCATTCCCTGCAGAGTTTCAGACCACAACGCCTTGAAACTTGAACTCAATCACAAGAGGAAATTCGGAAAGAACTCAAATACATGGAATGTAAGAGCATCCTATTAAAGAATGAATGGGTCAACCAGGAAATTAAAGAAGAATTAAAAGAATTCATGGGAACAAAGGAAAATGAAAACACAACTGTTCAAAACCTTTGGGATGCAGCAAAGGCAGTCCGGGGAGGGAAGTAGAGAGCAACAACAGCCTTTCTCAAGAAACAAGAAAGGTCCTAAATACACAACCTAACCTTACACCTAAAGGAGCTGGAGAAAGAACAGCAAATAAAGCCGAAACCCAGCAGGAGAAGAGAATTAATAACGATCAGAGCAGAAATCAATGAAATAGAAACCAAAAGAATAGTAGAACACAGCAACGAAACTAGGAGGTGGTTCCTTGAAAGAATTAATGGGATCGATAAACCCCTGGCCAGACTTAGCAAAAAGAAAAGAGAAAGGATCCAAATAAATAAAATCATGAATAAAAGAGGAGAGATCACAACCAACACCAAGGAAATACAATTTCAAGAACATATTAGGAATGACTATATGCCAACAAATTAGGCAATCTGGAAGAAATGGATGCATTCCTAGGGAGGTAGAAACTACCAAAACTGAAACAGGAAGAAACAGGAAACCTGAACAGACCCACAACCAGCAAGGAAATTGAAGCAGTAATCAAAAATCTCGCAAGAAACAAAACTCCAGGGCCGGATGGCTTCCCTGGGGAGTTTTAACAAACACTTAAAGAGGAATTAATGCCTATTCCTCTGAAGCTGTTTCAAAAAATAGAAATGGAAGGAAATCTTCCAAACTCTTTCTATGAGGCCAGCATTACCTTGATCCCAAAACCAGACAAAGACCCCACCAAAAAGGAGAATTACAGACCAATATCCCTGATGAACACGGATGCAAAAATTCTCATCAACATACTCGCTAATAGGAGCCAACAGTACATTAAGAGGATTATTCACCCCAACCAAGTGGGACTTATTCCTGGGCTGCAAAGGTGGTTCAACATCCGCAAATCAATCAACGTGATATGCTACGTTAATAAAAGAAAGGACAAGAACTGTATGATTCCTTCAATGGATGCAGAAAAAGCATTTGACAAAGTACAGCATGCTTTCTTGATTAAAACTCTTCATGGGGCGCCTGGGTGGCTCAGTCAGTTAAGCGGCTGCCTTTGGCTCAGGTCATGATCCTGGGGTCTTGGGATCGAGCCCCACGTCCGGCTCCCTAATCAGCAGAAAGCCTGCTTCTCCCTCCCCCTATGCCTGCCGCTCTGTCTACTTGTGCTCTCTCTCTATCTCCCTGTCAAATAAATAAATAAAATCTTTAAAAAAACAAACAAACAAACAACTCTTCACGATGCACGGATAGAGGGCACATACCTCAATACCATAAAAGCCATGTATGAAAAGCCCACGGCAAATATCATTCTCAATGGGGAGAAACTGCGAGCTTTTCCCTGAAGGTCAGGAACACGGCAGGGATGTCCACTCTCACCACTGCTGTCCAACATAATACTAGAAGTCCTAGCCTCAGCAATCAGACAATGAAAAGAAATAAAACGCATGGGAATTGGCAAAGAAGAAGTCAAACTCTCACTCTTCGCAGGTGACATAATACTCTATGTGGAAAACCCAAAAGACTCCACCCCCAAATTGCTAGAACTCATACAGGAATTCAGCAAAGTGGCAGGATATAAAATCAATGCACAGAAATCTGTTGCATTTCTATACACTAACAATGCGACAGAAGAAAGAGAAATTAAGGAGTCAAACCCATTTACAATTGCACCAAAAACCGTAAGATACCTAGGAATCAACCTAACCAAAGAGGCAAAGGATCTGTACTATGAAAACTATAGAACACTCACGAGAGAAATTGAGGAAGACGCAAAGAAATGGAAAAACACTCCATGTTCATGGATTGGAAGAACAAATTTGTTAAAATGTCTATGCTACCACTACCCAGAGCAATCTGTGCATTCAATGCAATCTCTATCAAAATACCATCAACTTGTTTCACAGAGCTGGAACACATCATCCTAAAATTTGTACGGAACCAGGAAAGACCCCGAATAGCCAAAGGAATGTTGAAAAAGAAAACCAAAGCTGGTGGCATCACAATTCCGGACCTCAAGTTCTATGACAAAGCTGTAATCATCAAGATGGTATGATACTGGCACAAAAACAGACACATCGGCCAATGAAACAGAACAGAGAACCCAGAAACGGACCCTCAACTCTATGGTCAACTAATCTTCGACAAAGCAGGTAAGAACAGCCATGGGAAAAAAGACAGTCTCTTCAACAAATGGTGTTGGGAAAAGTGGACAGCCACATGCAGAAGAATGAAACTGGACCATTTTCTTACACCATACACAAAAATGGACTCAAAATGGATGTAAGACCTAAATGTGAGACAGGAACCCATCAAAATCCTGGAGGAGAACATAGGCAGCAACTTCTGTGACCTGGGCCACAGCAACTTCTTGCTAGACACGTCTCCAAAGGCAAGGGAAACAAAGACTTCATCAAGATAAAAAGCTTTTGCACAGCAGAGGAAGCGGTCGACAAAACCAAAAGACGACTGACAGAATGGGAGAAGGTATTTGCAAATGACATGTCAGATAAAGGGCTAGTATGCAAAATCTATATAGAAGAACTTATCAAACTCAGCACCCAAAGAACAAATAATCCAGTCAAGAAACATGGAAGACGTGAACAGACATTTCTCCAAAGAAGACATTCAAATGGTCAACAGACACTTGAAAAAATGCCCAACATCACTTGGCATCAGGGAAATAAATACACATCAAAACCACAATGAGATATCAGCTCACACCTGTTGGAATGGCTAAAATGAACAAGTCAGGAAACAACAGATGTGGCAGGGATGCAGACAACGGGGAACCCTCTTACACTGCTGGTGGGAATGCAAGCTGGGACAGCCACTCTGGAAAACAGTATGGAGGTTCCTCAACAAGTTGAAAATAGAGCTACCCAGCGACCCAGCAATTGCACTACTAAGGATTTACCCCAAAGATACAAATGTAGTGATCCGAAGGGGCACCTGCACCCCAATGTTTATAGCAGCAATGTCCACAATAGCCAAACTGTGGAAAGAGCCCCGATGTCCCTTGACAGATGAATGGATAAAGAAGATGTGTAGATATATACAATGGACTATCACTCAGCCAATAAAAAAAATGAAATCGTGCAATGACGTGGATGGAACTAGAGGGTATTTTGCCAAATATGTCAGTCAGAGAAAGATAATAATCATTTGATTTCACTCCTATGTAGAATTTAAGAAACAAAACAGAGGAGCATAGGGGAAGGGAGGGGAAAATAAAACAAGATGAAATTAGAGTGGGAGACAAATCACAAGAGACTCTTAATCATAGGAAACAAACTGAGGGTTCCTGGAGCATAGGAGGGGAGAAGGATGGGGTAACTGGATGATGGACATTAAGGAGGGCACCTAATGTAATTAGCACTGGGTGTTATATAAGACTGATGAATCACTGAACTCTACCTTGGAAAATAATATACTTTATGTTGGTTAACTGAATTTAAATTTAAAAAATAATATTAAAAAAAAGAAAATATAAGCCAAACCAAGATAACTTTTGATATGATTAAACAGTGACACAGGTTTTTAGATATTAAAATACTTGTTGGAAGGGAAGAACACTATTAAAAGGAAATATTACCAAAGAACAAAGATATCTTGCAGAAACTCTTCAAAATGGACAATGAAAATTACAGTTGTTATTGTTAAAGGAACTATTGTTATTATTTATGTTATTTATATTATGTTATTTATATTATTATATTTATTTTATAATTATATTATTATATAATTATAATATATAATATATTATATATAAATATATTATATAATTTATAATTATATTATTAATATAATATAATTATATTAATATATTTATATTATGTATTTATATTATTATTTAAGGAATCATTAAAGAGTAAGTGTAATATTTTGGCAAGTATTTGTATTTAATAAAGTAAAATTACAGTTAAATCCGTTAATTAATGGTTAAAATTATCTGAAATATTACAGTCTTACCTAGTCATCTCTTTTTCTAATTCACCATTTTTCTTCATTTCTTGATCCAAACTACATTCCAGAGATTGTTTCAACTCAATACATTTCTTTTTTTTTTTTTAAGATTTTATTCATTTATTAGACAGAGAGAGAGAGAGAGAGCACAAGCAGCGGGAGTGGCAGGCAGAGGGAGAAGCAGACTCCTCGCTGAGCAAGGAGCCCGATGCGGAACTCGATCCCAGGACCCTGGGGTCATGACCTGAGCTGAAGGCAGACGCTTAACTGACTGAGCCACCCAGGCGTCCCTCAACTCAATAAATTTCTTTATCTGTCCCTTTTCTTCATCAGACTTTGAAAATAATTTTTAAAGAAAATTATATTTAAAAATCTAGATACTCATTCTTCTCTCATAAAATATTATTTCTCATGAATTCATAAGTAATAACGTGTTTAGAAAGGCTCATATACTACATTTTATACATTTTATAAATTTATAATTTTAAATTTATATAATATAGTTTAAAATTTATAATTTTAAGTTTTATATAATATAGTTTTATAAACCTGATGCCAATAAATACAAATTTCAAATATAAGGACCTTTCTTAAAAACAGCTTAAACTGATTTTACATTTTCATCATTATTTTTTCTAGAATTTAAACTGCCAGAATTTACTTGTTAAATACAGAGGTTCTTACCCATATTAATACTAAGTGTTAATGAAAAATTTAAAAAAGTGGTTATATTTATATTTTAGTTTCTAAACATGCCCTAGAAACGTTTTCATCCAAAGCTTAAGATACTCTGGGTTTTGTGAGATCATACCTTTTTAAGATAATCTCTGAAAAATTCCTATGCAGTCCCCATGACAGTTTTGATGATAGTCTGACTTTAGAATGAGATACTCTCCTTCTCTGCAAGCATTGCAAGCATCTCCGCAAGGTTTCAATTTCTTCTTTTCTGTTAACTACCTTTCTCTTTAAATAAAGTTTAAGTCTTCTCGATATTACATAAAAACTTTTGCTTCACTCTTGCAGCTTTTTCTATCATCCTGTTTCTCCCCTTTCACAAGACTTGAGCATTCTTTCATATGTCATCTCATCCACAGATTCATCTTTCCAACACTTATTTTCTTCTTTTACACTAAAATCGGAGTTTCAATCCTGGAATTCCACTAAAAAATTTTGAGGGTCATCAAGGATCTTTTTTTTAAAGTCTTTATCCTGCTTTACTTCTCAGCAACAGCTGAAAACAATGACCATACCCTCCCTCTGCTCTCTAATCCCATTTTATTTCTAAATGACAGCAACCGCGGTTAGTCCCTGACCTTTGCTATTCCTCTTATCAAATCCTCTCAGAGTTGGTTAAATCTCAAGGCTTCAAAACCAGATTCTCTAATCTACATTTCCAGCCTTGACCCCTTTACTGAGGTCATCTCTACTTTTTGATCTTCCTTCTCGTTCCTCATAGACAATATTCTCAACCACACACTCAAAAACCATTACCTGATGTGGATTACCTTTATAGACAGCTAATTTTTTTAAATTTATTTATTTGAAATAGAGAGTGCATGAATAGGGGGAAGGAGCAGAGGGAGAGGGAGAAGCAGACTCCCAGCTGAGCAGGGCTCGATCTCAGGACCCTGAGATCATGGTCTGAGCCGAAAGCAGGCGCTTAACTGACTGAGCCACCCAGGTACCCCTAGACAGCTAACTTTGTACATTTTATGTTGACTCTTTTTGGTATTACTTTGAGTGTATTGTTATTTTGTCATCTCAGGGGGGCACCCTTACCCTTAGGATGCTGACCACCATACTCTGTCTTGCTTTTCTTTTCTGATGCAAATGTTTCTCCCAAGGGTCAGACTATCAATTGTTTGCCTTTGTTTTCTTTTGAATAATTTCCTATTCCATAGAGATTGGATCTTATGGAAGTCTTCTTCTGAAGTTCTTTTCAGACACATACTTGACTATATTGTTTGGAAGCTTAAGTCAGCCTAGAGCTATCTCTTCTTCCCAATCCAGACTTCACCTCAAAACTATGTCCATCAAATATCTTAACCCAGGTAGTCTCTGGCCTGGGGATTCATGAGATAAAATCCTTCTAGAGATGTTAGGACTATGGACTGAGTTGGTTGAAAGCTAAGTGTTTGTTTCACAGGGTAGACCTTAAAGTGGCTAATAATTTTATGTCACAACCCTAATTCATTTCCATTGGAATCTACAGAATACCTACGGATATTCTTACAAACTTTACAAGATTTGATAGCTTCCTTAATAGATTTCTATATGACACCGTAGGGGGACAACTCCTGGCATTCTCATTCACATATCGTCACCTTACTTGCTCAATGAAAACTATAGTAATACAATGTGACTAATTTATAGGAAATCTAGAAAAAAAATAATTTTTGATTCCCATGCAGTCCCCATTACAGTTTTGATGATCGTCTGACTTTAGAAACTTTCGATGTTTCTTTGGCCACAAAAAGGACCAGTCAACAGAATGTGCTACTTCCCCTGATAGGTATAGCTGTATAATGAAATTTGCAAGGATGCAGCTTCTGTGACTAAAAGAAACTAGTGGTAGGTGCATCTACCTCATTGTTCCAACCTAGGACTCACAATGCAGTCTTCTCATCTTAAATCATTGGTAGCCTCTCCTATGAAGGAGGGTATAAATGGCATGATAATCCGGTTCTGCTTGGTAAATAGTTATATAGTTTGCACTACGTATCAATAAGTTGTAATCCCGGATTGCACATTAATCTTTTCTGAGATTCGATTGCTAAATCTCTGAAAGGCTGATTAACTCAAATTAATGAAAAAAAAAAAAAAGTTCCTGAACTTGCAGTGAATGCTAGGAGCACTATGTTACTATGTAAGGCCCTGATTGAGCAGTCATTTCCACTTTTTCACTGGCATCTCTTTTCCTTTTCAAAATCCAACAAAGAGAAAAATATATTCCTTTGAGAAAAATGTTTGCATAATGATCTAGTAGTCATTCTTGATGAAGTCAACAAATTACAAATTTATAATTACAAATCACAACAAATTATCATGAAAGTAATCCATTCTCAAATCTCACGGAAGGGTTTAGATTACAAGAGAAAGTCAGAATTCAATATCAAATTATGACTCAAAGTTTCGGTTTTTTAAACATACTGAAAAATATTAGTAGGGACTCGGACGTTTGTATGCCAATATTCACAGCAGCATTACTAACAGTAGCCAAAAGGTAGAAAAACTCAATTGTCCACTGCCAGATAGATAAATAAAATGTGGTATGTATAAAATATTGCTTATCTTAGACTACCACAATCTTTTTTATTACAATCTTACTATAAAAATTATTAATTTATGAATTCAGTCAACTTCATCTATAAAGAGGAATTATACTACCAGTAGCAAGTAGCAACAATATGAATACAATAAACATTTTTATTAGTGAGAATTTTCATATTATCCAAAATGGTCTTATATACTACTACTAGAGAAATAAAAATTCCTTTTCAGTAGGACAGAAATTAAGAGACTGACTTACCAAACTTGTACTTAACAGGTTTTCCTGAAGTTGTTCAATTTTGCACGCTTGTTTTTTGACTGTAACTTTTAACTTGGCATTTTCAACTTCAAGCCTAAAATGAATATTTTAAAATTATTCTCACACATAAATTTTAAAAGTACCGTATAATTTCTAAACAAACATCTGACGGTCTTACATAAATTCTTAAAAATTTAAAAAGTAGAAGATTTGGCAATTGTGCCATTTTTCTGGTTGTGTTTTATAGTTAATGTGCAAAATTTAAAGATAATATGCAAAATTTATGCATTTCCAAATAGCGCAAAGCTGGAAGTTTTATCCAGCTTAACAATGATGTACTTATTATCATAACTGATATATTTCTCATCCTACACTGCTTCTCTGCTTTATAAATACTCAAGTATTTTCTGTGCTGCTTTAAATTGTACTTTTGCACGTGATCTTTCGACGTCTCAATACATCTTACAGCCTCTGCATGTCGATCTTGTGCTTCTTGCAACTAAAAAAGAAAAAAAAAAGAAATACTTTTAACTACTGGCAATCTAGTATAAAACCACCATCAGCTGTTTTTGTAAATAAAATTTTAGTGGACACAGCCACACTCTCCTCTACATACTGCTTTATGGCTACAGCAGATTTGAACTGCTGCAACAGAGACCTATGGCCTACGAAGCCTAAAATATTTACAGGGAGTCTGCTTCTCTCTCTCTCTCTCCCTCTGCCCTTCCCCGCTGTTCCTTCTCTCTCTCAAATAAATAAAATCTTAAAATAAAATAAAATATTTACAATCCCCTTACAGAAAAGTTTGCTGACTTCTCTAGTTACTAAAATGTCACGTTTTTAATGTTTTTAAATTATATTTTATCAGCTAAACCTACAAATTTATATATTGGTCAAAGGGGGAAAGATACGAAATTACCTTATGGTAAACATTTCTGTTTTTGTATTCGAAGTACCACATCCATTCTACTTTTAAATATTCACATATGTGAATGACCATGGCTGTTCCAGTGATTATAAAAGTTAACATGTTGCTTTCAGTGACAACTAGATATTTCATGGAATAGTATGAGAGGCATTATCTTCGTAGGAACCAGAATGCCTGGGGTCTGAACACTGGGTATTAGCTGTGTGACCTGAACAAATTACTTAAAATTTCTGTGTCTCAGTTTCTTCTTCGTAAAATGAAGATAAAAATAGTATCTACACACTGGGATGTTGGGAAGATTAATTTAGGAAGTATACATGAACTATTTATTTTTATTTTTATTTTTTAAAGATTGTATTTATTTGACAGAGAGAGAGAAACAGCGAGAGAGGGGACACAAGCAGGGGGAGTGGGAGAGGGAGAAGCAGGCTTCCCGCCGAGCAGGGAGCCCGATGCGGGGCTCGATCCCAGGACCTTGGGATCATGACCTGAGCCGAAGGCAGACGCTTAACGACTGAGCCACCCAGGTGCCCCTATACATGAACTATTTAGAAGGGTATGTGGCACATACCAGATTCTGTCTGCAATTAGCATTATTGTTGTTGCTGTAGGTTATGTTCTAATAATATTTCATATTTTAGGCAGATGGTAGG